TAGCATTTAAGAAGAAGCAAGAAAAAAATTATTAATTTATTACCACACTAATACTAGCGTTTGGTAGAACTTAAAAATATATAGGTATATACACAAATAGATATGAAAGATAGTGTTGTTTATTACTTACTCTTACATTTCCTACCGATTACTTAATTTTAGGTAGTATATGAAAGATTGATTGGACAAAGAAATGTCCAAGTAAATGACGCAACTGTAAGGTGATCATTGTCTGCACTTTGCGAAGACATTATTGCAACATATCGATTTCAATAGACGCTTTGTAACTTTTACTCTTTAAGCGACTTCTTGTACTACATTACAATTTTTATCTTTAGACAATACGAAAATAATTTATTAAAAAGAAATTGTTGCAGTAGAAAACTGATTAAGCGTACCTATACGTATTATTGTTTGCACATTAACTATACCAATTATACCATATTATTGTATAATGTTGAGGTGTTATTTCATGATTACTAACGCCGATTGGAATTTTCGCAATTTTACACAATTAATACGTATACTACGTTATACTTATTTAACTGGGCGCATTGCAAAATGCAATTCTTTACCTGAATTGTCTGTTTTGCATGGACATTATTACGAAACGAGTCGTGAGGTACATAGGTACGATAATTACATTTATTTAAAATGCAACCACCAAAATGATCACAAATTAAACAGATCAGTCGTAAAGAATGCAAAAGCGAATAATTTCCATTTTAAAAAAAGGCCCCATAGATTTGCTTTTTTTTATTTAAACCATACAAAAAGTAATTTCAAAGTTTCAATTGAAATTGTCAACTAGTAATAAACAGAAAGATTCATTTTATATCGTAATATATTGTAGACACCATCTCGCTATATTGCAATATTAGCCTCAATGGCATTCAAAAAGCATTAAGAGGTACTACTTAAATTCGACCAAAATCTAAACCACCGAAGCAAAGGAATGTTTAGTCTTTCGCAGAAACTTTAATTAATAACTTTGCTCAAATCCCGTCCGAATCATCAGTCATCTAAACAAGCTTTCTCTTACATCAAAACAAAGAAAATGGTTAGAAAGTAATACGAATAGAATCTGGATTACGTTAATTCATATTACTAATCACTATGTAATAATGTGCTACGTATCTATAGTTCCAGACGTAAGTAGGTTTGCAAAGGAAATTTGTGTATTTGACATAACGGAATAACGTCTAATAAACGATATTCCCATTTTTTAATAAGTGATCCAAGGAAACCACAGAATAACCTGAACCAAGGCAGACGCACCCGGAATCGAACCGGCGTCCTCCCGAACGCTAAGCAATGGTCTAAACCTCTACGCCATGCCACTCGGTTACTTTACCAATTCAACTTTTATGTACAACTTGCGTCCTCTGTAATTAAGTAGATGATCACTTCCGCCCCAATTCTTTCACAACCACAAAATTAATACGTATTGATTACTATTTTTACATATTAAATAATACATATACTTTAATCGTAACGAGACACCGTTCCCAATATTATACTCATTCTTTTTTTTTTAACCGTTGAATCAGCAGTAAAAAAATAAGGAGTAACTTAAACTAGAGATGCACCGGATAGTAATTTTGCCGGGTGCCGGATAACCGGGTGCCCAGTATTAGCTGTGCCGGATTCCCCGCAAAATCACTACGGTTAATGGTTCATGTCTTTGTTCTGGCAGGCTTTCCAGCACTGTCGACTACCTGACGTCATTATCTGGTACCCGGCCGGATCCTAAAAAAAAGTGTTGAATCCGCCGGCTACCGGATCCAAACCGGACACCCTAATTTACACTAAATGTCCACTGACGAAATCGTTAGGTTGTGGTAGGCATATGTAAAGTACAGTAGAAAACGGTACCAAATTGGGACGGAATCAACCATTTCTAAAAATAATGTCATCTACGGAAATAGTCAAAACCTTGATATAATTTAGAACTTATTAATTTTCAAACAGGAGAGACAATAATTGTAACCGCGCGAGAAGTGGTATTATTACCGTTCCGTTTAGTAAAAAAAAAAAAAGATTAATGAAGTGCGTCAACAAATTTTACATAGTGACGCAAATTGTGTTGCTACAATTGCGCGAACCTTCCCACTCGAGTTCATTATCAACAATGAAAAACTTCTCCTCTTCGATTACCCATGGCCCACATTTTTAATTTTCCTTGACCGAAATAGAGTAAATGCAACTAAATAATATTAACCAACATTATTTACAAACTGTTATTGTCGTTATAATATAGTAAAACACGTCATTCGGAAAATCTTTCTCAGAGTTAGTAGGCATACATATAAAAACTTTTTCGACGCATTAGAACCATAATATGCATAAGCATAAGGAGTTACATAATATAAATAAATAAAATTTGTCGTAAAGTTAGGATTATTAATTTATAATTATACGAAATACAGTAGTCGACGATCAAAATAAAAAGAAAAAACATTTTGTGCAACTCACTTTTGCCGAACTGCAACATAAGATTTTTTGATTTGCTTCTTGACATGCTTTAAGTAGTACGTGCTTAGAGTCGAAAATGATTTAAGGCATCTCTCCTGAAATAGAATGATTTATCATAAACCTGTAAACATTTTTTATTAGGTATATATTTATTTTTCTTTTCATTTGCTAGTATCAATTCATCGACTACAAATTAGATCGAAATTGCACTTTTTGATTTATTGAACATTTTGTTTTTTGCAATAATCTTTAAAACTTAAGATAGTGTATACCATGAAGAATTTATTACTCATGGGGTTTATTCTATGATAACTAATTAAAAATTTTTCCTTTTATATTTGAACTCCCTGTATATCGTATATATACTGTACATGAATACACATTTGTGTTAATTACAGTATTGTATCAACGCCTACTGTCATTAAAGTATATGACAGCAATTATAATGATTATGATTTATGATGCCACCATTTTGCACAATTATTATCGAGATTCTGCTTTTTACGCGAACGAATTCGTGATTTTGCACCTAGTGTATGTACTACATATGTTATATAACAATAATGAATACGTATGATACGTGTTAATGTAATTGTACAAAACATGTGTATAGTAACATTTAATTCAATACATAAAATATTAATTCATGAATTATCTTTTTTGTTGTATTATAATTAGATCGTCGCGCTTAAACATGCCACTTAAATACAAATTGCATATTAAATGCATCAATACGTTTAATAAACATAAACATGGGGATTTGTTGGTGCAGTTACTTCCATCATTTCGACTAATTACCATTAAGTTTTTTGAACACTTGCCTTTTGTAATGTGTTTATATGGTTATTTTATAGAATATAGCTATGTTGGCGTGTCTCTAGTGGTGTAGAATAGCACATTTGATGGTTAATATGTGAAGTAACCAGTTTCCTATCTCGACCAAGGTGTTCTAAATCTGAAGTTTAAATTTTCACCTGTTGTCCGGTTTTTGGGTCGACCATCGACCACCAAACCCAGTTTAAAATAAGTGTGAATGTAGTGGAATGTTCTTGAATGTTTCTAGCGTTGTCCTCTACTGAAATATTCTCCAAAATTGTCCTCAAGTAGAATGTTCTGGGTTGAACTAGAAAAATCGAGAGCATTCTGGAATGTTTGAGGACCATTTGAGTTCTGACACTAAATTCAGGCATTTTCTCAAATTTCTTTTGAAGTATTCTGGAAAACATTTGTGGAATCTCCTGAAATGTTAAAGATTTTTCCAATTTGATGTCCGAATTGACTACAGAACAGCCGTTTAGACTAAGTGAGAATGTAAACCCAGCGAAGCAGATTGTCGTTAGCTAATATAAAATAATCAACAAATTTCGTTTTAATCCAACCACCCACTTGACTTAACGGGACCCCTCTTTGAATTATCAGATTTTGAAATGTACGTCATCTAATTTTGTTTTTAATCAATCTTAATTAAATGGGTTTCGTCATCGTTCCAAACTAATTACAAAGTCCGCAAGCTTTTATTAGATGCGAGCTTAAAATCATTTTTGACATGTACGTAGAATAGTTAATGGTTTGAAAAAGCGTCCGACTGTCTGTCCATCTGATTGCATCGTTCTTTGTAGCAGAAGTAAAATCATGTCTTTCAGCAGTAATAACTTACATAAATATTTCTCGGTTCTACTCGAAAGATATTTCACGTTAGCCTTTCTAATCAAGTTTCACTTTCTAACATAGCGATTGCCGCTACCGCTGCTGCACGTCAGTCGTTGCAAATTCCAAGGCCAATTACCCAAAAAATACGTTTCTCGTACATGGTGGGTCCGTCTGTCTGCCCGTAAAACACATTGCAACTTTAACGTAATAATAATAATTATACCTATACCAGTTTTCTATCGTGTTGGCAACGAAAGAAACTACACATATTTTTTAAGGATTGTTCGTATGCCATGACGGTCGTACGTCGTACCAAAAATTCGTTTATTTCATTGCTTTTTTGGGAATAATTTTCTTAGAAACATAAACAAACCGGTTTCCATTAAATTAACAAAATTCAACTGTATGACTTTCATAGAATAGTTCAACAAGTATAACACTTGATAACGATAGGTACATACGTATATTACTCTAAAGACCCGATTTCGGTTAAAACGCCATTTGTCTAGGAAAAACTAGTTTTTATTTTTTTGTATAATTTTATAGAGGTATTAGAAAGAATAAGAAAACAGAGTGTCAGAGTTGCGATTACCAGTCTCAACACAGAGGACTCTATGGAAGACAATAAAAAATAGGCGAGATAGATTGGTAGGACTCCTTCTCAGGCATGAAGGTCTAGTCGGAGACATATTAGAGACAGAAAGAGGAGTTAGGAGGGGTAGAGGTAGACGTAGGATAGATTATTGTTCGCAAATAGTTAAGGATGTGGGTTGTTCTAGTTTTAGGGAAATGCGAATTTTAGCTCATAATAGAAAAGAGATGATGATGATAATTTTATGAGAAAAAACTGAAAATTTTTCCTCCCCTTGTTACAGAAATTGTCCTTTCCGTCACTTCAAAATGGCTGCACAATGTTCAATTTCTCGATGTCGAGTACGGCTGATATGGAAGGCCCGGGGGGCAGTTTCGAATGCATTAAACAATCAGCCGCACCGAGGGGAGCTCTGGAAGCTCTCGGGGCTATTCCACACAAAATTCGAATACACGCCAACGAAGACGTCTATGAAGCTACGAGACACCGAATGACAGTCGCGGAAGAGAATCACAAAAATAAATGGTAAGTTTCATTAATTCGCTACTATGTCAGCCATTTCATAATGAAATATGTCCTCGATTAAATTGAATTTTGGTCGTCGAAACCATTTTGGGAAATATTTTTTTTAATGCTTGTTTGGGTCCCATGATGTTGCAAATGTCAAATTGCAACTCTGTAATATTTACTTCCATTCCGGGTGGGAATTGGGCAGTGTGGTAAAGGAACAAATACACTAAAAAATAGACTCACCCTAATTACTACAAAGTTGGCGAAACACGTGTGATAAACGAACATACTTGGGAAAAGGTTCTTTCTTTGGGTGTTTCATTCCCACCAGCCAGTTATGTTGGTGGGCGGGCAGTCCCTCCGGACTACGCCGGAAGGTAGGGCGAAAGGCCCTCTTCAGCCTGCTTTCAGGAATCGTGGGAATGGGTGGGTGGTGGTTCGGGTGAGAAAGTTGAGACGGACGAAATGAAGACAGAAGAGAATGAAAGATTATCTGTGGAATATTACTGCCCCAGCATTTGCCTAAGTGATCCAAGGAAACCACAGAAAAACTTGGACCAAGGCAGACGGACCCGGAATCGAACCGGCGTCCTCCCGAATGCTAAGCAATGGTCTAGACCTCTAGGCCATGCCGCTCGGTTTGGGAAAAGGCTCCTCTAGATCCATACGGAAAATGGCTCTCTGTCAAACTCTGAAACTTTGGATTCTGATAGTTCTCGACGAGTTGATTAAAAGACTCACTAGGCGCCAAATCGTAAAAACTCATCTTTTTGTATATGAATCGGCCAACGTTTTGTTACAACTTCACTTTTAGTTTCCATGTGTCGTATAAACTATAGATCATTTGACAAAGGACTATTTTCTGTAAGGATCTAGCGGGATCCTTTGTTGAGAAGTTTTATATGAGGCATGGGAAAAAAAGTCGAAATAAACAGAAAAATCTAAAGATCCCTATTTTCGGTTCCAATTCATTTAAAAAAACCAAGAACTCACATGAACAGAATTATTAAGCCTGAAGAACTAGGACTGTCGTTTATGTATCTCGATTGTAAATTAATAGATTTACTCCGTATCCACTGAGAAATAAAAAAAAATCCGAAAAAAAGGTACCTACTGTATTTAAACAACATTAAAACTTCTTACTAAAACTAAAGCTCCTAATAAATTCTATCAAAGTTCATTGTTCATGTATGCATTCAAGAGAACGCGGCGCTATACAGAAGTGTTTAATACATTACCCTAATTTTAGACAGTTATTCGACCTAATTGTAAGAATAAATATGTTTTGTTCGCATAAAAAAATCTATTAATACACAATGTTTATAATATTGACAAAACCCAAGTTAAGAATCCTGTTGACGTGAATCCATTTCGCTACCATATATGTAAAGTAAATTTTACGGTGAATATGTACTTAGTTAATAGATGTACTTATTTTCCACATGTAATATTTTACGATTGGTTGTCCTTTGCGTGGTGTTTTTCCTTGAAATTAATATTTGTTACTTCTAAACACTATCTGTTATTTTGAGTTTGTTATTTATTTTTTATTGCGTCTTCGTATATCTACATTTGGTTTGGTTTTTGGTTTATCTCTTGATTTATTTCATTGATAAGTTACTGTTTTGTAAACCTAATCGCATTTGTCGATATTTTATGAGTTATCATTTGTTAGGAAGTCTTTTTGTGCATTGTTAAAAGTAGACCGAAAAAAAAATTATTTATAAAAACAATAATAGAATTGTTTATTAAGTTATCGTAACAGAATATCAAAATATTCATAACTATTCTGTAAATGGTAAAATACCTAACTACTATATTTACGAAAATAGGGTTTTTCGAACATAATGTACAGTATGGTACAAAAGTAACCAAGCATTTCTCGTACATAATATCATGATTAAATAATGATAAAAGAAGTGTAATTTGAATTTTAAGAAGTTTTTATTAAGTAACGTTTTCTAAAGTTCGGTTTTGTTTCCAGCACAAGAGAAATTAAACCGAACCAGAATGACATAGGTAGGAAGGTTAAGGTGAAGCAACTGCCAGGACGGACCGTGTCGTCAACCACGGCAGTGCCGCCCCCGTCTTCGCGGAGGGATGCACCCCCTATTCGGGAAAGTCTGCTCAAATCGCCGAACCAAACAAATCTGAACTCCAAGACTCCGCCATTATACGCGAATAGCAACGGTTTGACCAACGGCTTGGGAAGCAGTTACGCCAACAATTCCCGTCCTTTGCAAAATAAACCCTCCATGCCTGAGATTATGCGAAGACCAATCAAGTAGGTGGTCGTATATCTTTAACGTTACCTTTTTTCCTTACTACTATGCTTGTATTTCTCCTGTCACAATTTCGGTTCGGAAAAAGTATTAAAAGAAAAGTTTTCCACGATCAGTTGAATTGCACAATGGCTTTGTTCGCTGAAAAGCCAAAATACAAGAAAGTGTTTATCACCAGCGCCTTGTTACGCAATGTGCTACGAATAGATTCTAAATGTAAACATTAATCAACCGCTTACGTCTTTTATTGTTAACCATCTCATTAAAAAATCAAATTAGTGCTGAATTAGCATGTTTTTGTTTCTTTCATTTGCTTGACCTGTCAATGACAGTAATAATGATGATAGGTCGTATAACTCTCTCGATATTTCTTGCACGAATGTATGAATAGTTCTTTTACAACTTTTTTATTTGTGGTGTAGTTACGTTTTTATTTCTAATTAGTTTTTTGTATTTACATCACTTCTACGGCTTTGCTGCAACTAATTTCAGTTCGATAGTTGAATGGTTGTGGGAGTTACTGTTCATTTATACCAACTGATCTTAAATATAGAATCATATCTAGTAGGAACAGGCAATAGCTGTTTTATAGCTTCCTAAAATAAATACATATGTCGTTAATTTGGTCGATGATTTCGTAAGCAAAACGGCTGTCTTCAGAAATTTACCAGACGATTATGTTTAATACCAAATTACTTGTAATCAGTGTTGTCGATTTCTTCTAAAACACTAATATCTATAAACTACTTACAGTGTAAATGCCAGACACTGTCATTCATCATCATAAGGTCGTCAGTCTTTAAACTGGTTGGACACGCACCTCCACTCCTTCCTATCCTGAGCTAATCTTCGCATTTCCCTAAAACTAGAACAGCTCACATCCTTAACTATTTGCGAACAGTAATCTAATCTAGGTCTACGCTACTCTACCCCTCCTAACTCCTGTTTCTGCCTCTAATATGTCTCTGACTAGACCTTCATGCCTAAGAAGGTGTCCTACCAACCTATCTCGCCTATTTTTTATTGTCTTCCATAGAGTCCTCTGTTCTCATATTCTTTCCAATATTTCTTCATTTCTAACCGTTTCTACCCACGATATCCTCATCATCCGCCTATAACACCCCATAACCTTTTCTTTTCCGCCGCTCCCACTCTCCATGTTTCGCACCCGTACAACGCCGTGCTCCAAACATACACCTTTAACAACCTTTTTCGAATTTCTAAATTAACGGTTCGCGAGCATAGAAGTGACTTCTTTTTATTAAAGGTGACACGACCCTGCGCTATTCTTTGCTTTATATCCCTACTACTCCTTCCATCCTCACTTATCTAACTTCCTAGATATCTAAAATCAGCCACTTCTAAGTTTTCGTCCATACAGTTGCACTGTCTTTGATGATGTTGATCGCGTCTTCGATGTATAGAATAAAAAGTAGCGATGGCAGTGTGCATCCATGTCTGACTCCCTTCCTAATATAAAAGTACTTCTCTACGTTGCAGCTCCAGCTCTATAACTTCCTGTTGCTCCTTATATAAACTAAGTATCACTCTTCTATCTCTATAACTCATCCCTACATCGTTAAGTATATTTAACATCTTGTTCATTTTTCTAAATCTACAAATCCTATGTACGCACTCTTTCTTTTTTCTATCTTTCTCTATTGTTACTCGTAAAGGTAGAATGGCCTCTATCGTTCCTCTATTTCTTCTGAGCCCAAATTGATCTTCCCCTAATAGTTCTTCCGCCCTTTTTTCCATCCTCCTCTGTACTATTCTAGTTAAGATGGTCTACAGTTAAAAAATTTTCAGAGAACGTTTGATTCACCTTCTTGCCTTGAGACCGTTCAAAAAGCCCGAATTATACGAAAGGCTCGTACGAGGTAAGCCCTTAACGATGAATAAATCATTTTGTTCGACGTTCTTAATGGTTATGTCGTTGATTTTTATAGAGGGTTTGCGGGAGAAGCATAGCATGACGTCCATTTTAAAGCAGATTGCATACATGAAAGACAACGCGTACCACCTGAACAGGGCTATGTGGAACGATGTGAGGGAAGATTGGCCGTTTTATACAGAGAGTGAAAGACAAGCGCTGAAAAGGTGAGCTATTTAGACACCACCATGCCAGATTATAACTTACTTTCGAACTGTAACACAAAAGTGCTAAAAGTTTAACCCTGGTTACGTATCAATTCTAGTTTAAAATAGCTTCTTTCTCAGGATATCTTGGATATATTAACTTGTAAATTATCAACCTTATTTTATATTTGAAATGTTTTATTCTCTGTCGGTGTCACATGTAGGTTCACATTTAAGCATTACTGTAAACTATTATTACAATTGATTACTCGACAATTGGAGCATGTATAATCAAAAGAAATTGCCATTGTGAAAGCTTTTTTTCTTAGTAACCTGCAGATTTCTTTACAAAGTGAAAATTTTAACTTGTTAAAATTTATTTATTTTATGAAAAAGGATTTTGTCTCGCAAGCACAAGATTCCGTTCCGTACTGCCGAAACACTGTGATCTGATACAAAATTTTGATTCAAATCCTCTCCTTTTAACTATTAATTACTTTAGTTTCAATAATTTTAAAGATAAGCGAACGTTACATGGCCGATATTCCTGGTAATATTTCAGAAGAACTAATATTATAAATGCTAATGTGAGTTTGCTACCATTTCACGCCTTAACTATTCAATCGACCACCATGAAATTTTGTACACACATTGTCAGGGAAACAGAAAAGGACATAGAGACCTTTTATCCAGAAAGAAAATATTTTCCCTCAGGGAAAGACAAAATTAGTTTTATGTGGTCGTCGATAGTTTTTGACACGTATTTAGGACATCAACGTGAGCGAAGCCGCGGGCGAAACATGTCATGAAATTTTGTAGACATATTATTAGAAGTAAAGAGAAGGACGTAGGGTATCTTGTACCCAGAAAAAATAATGTTCCGGAGGAATAGGAAAATTAGTTTTATGTGGTCGTCGATGATCTTTGACATCAAAACGAATCCGCGGTAAAAACCTAGTGTTACATGAAAATTAATGTTTCTACAAATCTTGCCCTTTGTCCTATTCTCATGAAACTAAAAGTATGTGAACCAGGGAATCCAGGACTTCGTTTATTCTACCAGCCACGTATATTTAAAAAATATTTTTCTGTGCTACGCTGACTGTTAGAAGGCATAATATATGGATAAATGTCAAAATGATACGGTTTCTGACACATGAGTGATGCTACACAGGTTTCGCTTTTTCTTTTGATACACAGGACTCAAGGTTTCTCATTTTTAGTTTAACTGTAATTTTTCTTCTTTGTTTTTAGACGAAAACCACAGAACCTTACTCCGCCAGGCAGTAGCGACGGTGGTAGTTCGGGCAGCGGTCAGTCACCGACCAGCACACACCCAGGCTCACCTCCACCGCCCATATCAACAACCCCGTCGTCCAAACGGCCCGGCTATTACGACGGTGCCGACGGCCTGCCCACCAAAAGGCAACGCATCTCTCACTATCGCAAACCCTCCGAGCAAGTGGTGTGCAGGTCACCGGTCGAAAATAACAGTCAAAGACGACCGGTGACCGATTCTCGGGACGCAAGCAACATGAACCCTCGCAGCAGGGAAATGCCGTTGACGCCATCTTCGACGAACGGTCACTACTACAACAATAACGGATATCCAACTAACGGTTTCGGTCCCCACCTTAGCGAAGACGACGACGACGATGAGGAAGACATAGACGCTACCATGGTTGACGTTTCGACCCCTGTTACCGTCTCGCGTAGCAGCAGTAACAGCAACAGCAACAACATTAACAACAACAAACAACGGCCTTGTGATAGTCATAATATTAATAATAATAATAACAGTAGTTGTTTGAATTTTGGTGTTAGTCGTGAAAAGTCGTCATCGCCTTTCGGGGGTGGCAGTAACGGTAATAGTAACGGTGGCGGGTCACCGTTACTCGCCGTAAGTGGCGGTAGTGCGAAGCAGTCGCCCAAAAAGAACGGATTCGTTGTTAGTTCATCTTCGGTTGTCGGTGGTAGTGGCGGAGGCGGAGGCGGAGGCGGCGGGGGTGGCACCCCAACAAATGTGGTTGCGAACGAGAATAATAAAGTTGTGCGGGTGAACGAGCCGGCGGTTGTGACGCAAACGAATAATAACGGCAGCAAGTACGCGGACTACGTCAAAACTCATTCGAACAACAACAACAGCAGCAGCACCAAAAAACAGCAGCAACAGTCGCAAGAGGTGAATGGAACGTTGCAGAGGCATGCTGAACAAGTTTCGGCAACGGATTCAGGACCTCCTCCACCCCCTGCCGATGTACAAAAACAAAAGACCCTGGCTGAAGTGGATCCCACACCGGAGTTCCCGGATTATTTGACGTAAGTTACTTAAAATTTACTTTTAATGTCCCGATAATAAGTTTAGATACAATTTGAGTTCCAGTTTTTGCTTAAACTAGGTCTCTAAGTAGCCCTTCATGTCTCAGAAGTTGTTCTAGCACAGTATCTCTCTTTTTCCTTTTTGACTTCTGTAACGCCCCATGTTCTCCTACTTTTTCCAATACCTCGTCGTTTCTAACCCTTCCTATATCATGAATTTTTTTGCATCGGCCTATAACATCATAGCACCATCAACTTTTCGCACACGTACAGAGCCGTTAACCATTCGCGAGCATACTCAACGTTCCTAGGAATTTAATGTCCCAGGTTTAATATTTCATTTTATTTTGGGTTACATGTACATTTAATTCTCGTCCACTTGTGCACACGTTCGTTCATCTCCTTAAAGTAAAACGTCACAGCAGTACATAAAATTGATTATTAACAGTAAGTTGTTACTTATCATTTGGACTGACTGATAAGTTATTTTATTACATATATTTTTGTTAAAGTAACTTTTAAAGTCAATCAGTTTTGTTGTTAAAGTACCTATTGCTTTGCTATAATAATTTTACTTTCAACAAGATGCTCACGGCTTTTTATAGACTTTTAGTTGTTCAATCTCGTAAAAATAAGTTTTTAAGTTTTCGTTTTAACGTTCAAAAATTATTAAGGAGTTAGCTAATAACTTAAATTTAACAGTCTAACGTCTCCTTTTTTCCATATTCTAGCTAACAAAAATTCAATTAATAAATGATGTCGTCTAGATTTGGAGATGCATTTGTGTAACCCATTAATAAATTTATGTAACTGTAAAGAAACTGTTTAAGTTTATATTAACATAAAAATGATTATGTTAAAATCGCATCTCATAAGTTTAATTTATCATTCACATGTAAAAGCTTTATAATATTGGATCGCGTATACAAGGTGTAACAAAAATAAGCGTCAAGCTTGCAAGAGGCGGTAGAGCACTAAAAAATATGAAAATTAAGTAAATATTTATATGTTCGAAAGTTTTCGTGAAAAACGTAGTTGAAAGTAGAGCAATTCGGGCCCTGGCAAAGAAATGCGTCCCGCAACGCTGCACTCAATCAGCTGGTGATTACCAAGATCAATGTAGTATTTGTTTTGTATTTATTACTCATGCATTGTTTATTTGTTAGATTACATTAAGTGTGATTCAGGTGTTTATGTTAACAGTCAACCTCTAGTAGCCTTTTATTGTTTTAACGTTTAAACCAAGTATAAAGCGGCTGATGTGCTAAATCTAAATTAGTCTAAACATTATTTGTAGTACTACGTTCGATAATTGAAAATGTTTACATTCTCCATTCACGTAGCTGCAGAGTTTTTATAGCACTACGCTAATCGATAGACACCTACATTGCCCATTCACGCACAGGGCCGGCTTTGGATTGTGAATGATTGTGATTTTATTAAAAATGTTTTTTTGCCCTTGACCACGCGCTGCCGAAGTTGCCATGCGATTGTTTATTGCATCTAGTTACACCCTCCAAAAACTCGGCACATATTTCTGTTACACCCTGTATATTCTGTAGGACAAGTAGATATTTTTTAAAGCCCTTATGGAGCTTTTAAAAAGGTACAATGTTGTTTTCTCGTTGTTAACAGTGAGTACACCACCATTAAAAACTCGGATCAACGGCGAAGGTATAAGGCAGACTTCAATGCTGATTACAGTGAATATAAGCAACTTCATGCCGTTGTGGAAAAAGTGTCCAGAAGATTCGCTGAACTGGAAGAAAGACTTCGCCAAACCGACAAACACAGTCCGAAGTACAAGGTAGGAATACTTTCAAATTTTATAAAACTATAACAATAATTATTTTATTTCGGAATAATTCGTCGAATTTCAATGCCTTTATTGTCTTCTTTAAATGGTATAGGATATTTATTTCAGTTAACAAATTTGAATGAGAATTGATAGGCAAATTTATGAAAACTTTTAAAATTGTTCTTACCTTTTTCGAAGGAAACAAAAGTAGAGTCCAGTCCCAAGTGACTTCATTAGAAATCTGTAACAATAAAAACAATATTTTAATAATGGAATTAGGAATGTGATGGTGGAATACGGTTTTTTCTTTGATCTTTACAGGAAATAAGAAAGCAAATAGTAAAAGAGTACAGGGAAAACAAGCAGGATTTGGGTCACCAGAGGGATAAAAGACGATTCCAATATTTACACGAAAAATTGTCGCACATCAAGAGGCTGGTGCTGGAGTATGACCAGACAAATGCAGAAAAAAGGTACTGACCTTGGGCGAAGGCCCATTGGCCACCAGCCCAAGACGTCAATGAGCATTGCTATGGACAAAATACGCCTTGTACTACTATTACTATAACTATAGCTAAATCTTCGCTACTTGTTACATCACCATCACTACCCTTCTTACTACTGTTATTTATATTTTTAAGAACTTATTTTCTTCCTGTTAATATTAGTATGACACTTCAGTAATGTTATTTTACTGTTGCTGCCAATTTACCGCGTCGCCGTAGTTTGTTTTTTGATTGTTAGTCAGAGTTTTGTGTATGTATTATCGAATGTTGTTTACGTTGAGTTTAAGTTTTTTTTAATAGTTGTGCAGTTTTTATAATTCGTTGGGTTGGAGCTCAGTCTTGCTCAATTACCATTTGTGATATGCCGCGACGGAGTTAACAAATAACTTCGCACGGGGCCAACTTTTAAGTCACCCGACGATTTATGTTACATTAATTCGTACGTTAACTACACGCTCGTTTCGCGACCCCCTGTCTTTTTATTTTAATTTTCCCTAAGTAATTTTACCAAGTGTTATAGTTACGGTTAGGTTTGAACTTTTAGAAAAATTTGTTTTTAGCGAATGATAATTAATTTACTATCTATACAATGACTGCTAAATAAACGCATATCTATCCTGGATTTTCTATTTGCTTATTTCGTTAGTGAGAAAGGCCGAGTTTTACAAGAAATAGTCTATGGTCGACCCACATTTGAAAATGGCCCTCATGACGGTGAGTTTAAATATGTTTTCTAGAAAAAGTTTTATTATTCCTTTAACTTATTGTAATCATTCATAATATTTAGGATTACTCGAATTATTTTGGTCTAAATCTACAATCTAAACAAAAGTTGATTTCGTTGAATATGAAATAATATATCATTAATAACAACTGACAACTACAAAAAAAAATTGCACCACCAAAATAATTATGTGTAACTATTAAAGTGGTCCTAAATATAATGAATTATTAGATTAACTACTTACAAGGGATAATAAAAAAAGTTTTTTAGAAAACTTATTAATCGCACCGTTGCGGGTGCCATTTTGTACTCATATCGATTGTAGTCTTTTGACGGTGAATTTTGCATCTGTCTTACATATCATGTTTTGTAGAATTCGTAGAAATTGAGTTAAAATCTTTGATACATTAGACAAAGATAAAATACAATAAAATTGTATATCATGATAACAATTTGTTTTGCAAAATTTTTAAAATTTTTCCTATGAATTATTAACTTCACTACTAAAATGGTGACAGCATTTTACAAAAATAAATTAAATTATTTGCTAATCGTAAAGTATCAAATTTTGTTTAATATTCTTGTTAAAGCTAACAAATAAAACTGTTTTTGTTTAATTAATCGTACAGAAGTTGATTTCAAAAAAAAAATATTTGATTAAAGCTATTTTATATGTTTATTATGGAAAGATATTTTTGCAATGAAAAATATTTTAAAAGATAAATCCATTGGTTACATGTCGTCAGTAACGTACAGTATATAAAAAGGAAATTGTTTTTCTATTTTTATATGTATCTTCTGCTTTCCTAGAAGTAAAAAAAAATTGGCGAAATATCAAATTTTGTTTAAAATAAAATCACGGAACTGACAAAAATTAACATAAATTTACATAACTAATTATAATTTGACTTGAAATCGTTTGTCTTTATAAATCAAATAAAAATTTCGTTATTTGTTTAGCTTCACTTTAGCTACATCCACAAAAACGTCAAACTTTTAAAGATAATTATCATTTATAACAATTTTTTTGAAATGTTGATTACTTACGTATATATCGGTCTTTCTCACTCGGATTCATAGTAAATAAAGGGAACAAAACTAGCAAGTTACTTAAAAATAAAAAAGTTAATATCACGTTACTTAATGAGGACGCCATTCTGCATGTAAAAATGGTGAAAACAAGATTTGAACAAAAACAAAATTTGCAAAAAAAAATTGTACTTAAAATTCATGTACTGGTTATACAATCAAAAATTCTTATTTTTTTCAGTTTTAAAGTCTATAGATATTTTTCTCATTACTCTCAAATCGTGGTTCTACCTACAAAAAAAATTAGTTACTTATGCATTAAGAAAATCATTCGTACGACGCTGTACTTTCTGTTAATTCGTAAAATAAGATTACGATTACATATTTTATTACCATGATTAAATTGATTGGCTCTCAAAATAGGTTAATTGTGAAAGATAATCCAAAAAGATATATTAATTGTGTCTGCTATTTAACGTTCCTATAATAAACCTGTAATACTTGACTAGCTAAGCCTAAATAAAGAAAAATTCTTTATGTTTCAAATATTGAGTCTGCAATATTAAACCCTTTTTGAAACATTAAAAAGCATTTTCTTTGTTTGAGCGTATTTAAAAAATGATTCGCAAGAAGCTGACTAGCGAACCAGTAAAGGTTATAAGAAATTAATCAAAACTGTTGAATTTAATCTAAAAATTGTTTTTCCGTCAGAGACAAATCAATAGAGTAATAGTAAACATAATTTTAAGCAAAGAAGGTTTGATAGAACTTAACTTGTGGACATTTATTGCAAAAATATACATGCGGTTCATGTTTTTATGGAGAATTTGAGTAATATGGTATTATTAAAATATTTTCAACCACCGAATATTTTTTGGTCATACGTTTTTTAAGTACTTTGAATGAAACAAAAATAATAATACCAGTATTGGTCTGTTTTTGATTATACGATAAAATTTTTGGTCCTTCGAGCCGGATGACCACATTTCTGAAGATAAGATAGATGAGAAACCGAACTTCTTTCGGCCCGAGGAACTAAATAAAAATATAGGTACACGTTTAAATAATGTACTAAACAGTTTAACCCTTATAATACGTACTCGCCTTAGTTTACATTAATAGACTTCATCAAACGTCAAGTAGAATTTTAGAGAAAAATATTAAAAATACAAAAATTATCGAATTACTAAAATTATTTATATCTGACGATGGCCAATTACGTTGATATTTCTTTTTTCATCTAGGAAAAGCCAAGTTTTTCTGTGTACCTACGTTTTATTTAGTATTTTTCCTGTTTTGAACGAGCCAACTTCTTTATCATTTATCTGAGTATTTACTCGCGTAGTTTTCGTATATATTATGATTAATTAGTTATTATCACTACTACTACTACTACTATTACTGTAATTATTAATTATTCTGTACTATTTTGTAACTGTGATCGCTGAGCTCATTCCGCCAATGTACATAATCAAAACGAAAGAAAGAAGAAAAGATGAATATTGTTCTATGTCCCATAGCAGTGCAAGTGCCCTGTGCATTTTGATAAGTATCGTGTTGTCTTTTGCCATTTTTAACGAACGAACGCAAGGAAAATGTGAAAAAAATAATATATTATATATAGAAATA